ACAGTATTGTGGTTAACACAGAAATAGACACGTCTGTGATGTGTATTTATTATCATTACGCACATGCGGTGTTACAAAGCCAGCTGATAGGTCAAGGAGTATTGCGTACAATCAAACATCACGTAATACATACAGTCAGAGAGATGGATGGCGGTTTTATCAGTGACCATTAACCAGGTCGGTTTTGTGGTCAAGGCAACTGGTTACACACATACGTGACGCTCGGTATAAAACCGACGCTTGAAGTGTTGATGAAAGGTTCTCTACTACAAGAACTCGCCCAACGTCACGTTCTATAACATTGTATGAAATAATATTGACCGGTTGTATACAAACAAACCATGCCTATGAACACGTCAAGGACGAAACTTCAGTCATTAATTAGAATTAATTAACGGAATGATTTCTTTCATGATAAATATACAATATATATTTGTTCATGACCAAACCACGAGCTATAACACTGTGACCTTATTCCCTGTAGAGTGAGTGAGTTGATTTTTCATGTCTCATCGACAATATTTCAGCTATTGACGATGAGAATACATTAGACTTTAGTAACGAAATTTGATACATGCAATACCGGCCCAGGAGTACATTATAAGAGTCGATATTACACTATAATTGAAAAAGAAGTGCTGAAACGAGACAGGAATATCTTCATTTGATTTGATTAAAATAAATATATTTTATAGAGTAGACAAGAATAGTTTGTTTTATAAAATCACCCATTTAACCAAATAGCAATGAGAAAAAGTTATTATTTAATACAAAATTTCATTTCATATTCAGTACAACATGTCGCTTATGAATCAACTCATCCACCATGTTAGGTTAAACCTCATTTCAAAGTTACTTTCTTGCATAAATTAAAGTATACAAGGCTACTGAATACTATCTAATTGAGATTCAAACTTTGGTTTGCTTGTTGTTTTACGCCGCACTCAGCAATATTCCAGCTATATAGTGGCGGTCTGTAAATAATCAAGTCTGGACCAGACAATCCAGTGATCAACAGCATGAGCATCGATCTACGCAATTCGGATACGGTAACATGTGTCAACCGAGCCTGACCACCCGATTCCTTTAGTCGCCCTTTACGACAAGCATGGGTTGCTGAAGATCACTTCTAACCCGGATCTTCACGGGTGATAAGAACTAATGATTAATCAATCACTACATAATTATCTATATGTATTTCAAAGTCTGTTTAATTGCTTGTCAAATATGACAACTAATTATATATATTTATAACCTCTGATCTAATTATCCAATGATTAAACTTCATATATATGCGTTAAGTATGGATGCTTAGCTCATAACTCACCCCCCGAAGTCATTAAGCCTGCATTCTTAAATGACCATTGGTGAAGGTATGCAAATTAGCGAGGATATAACAGTGAATTATGACCTCATCAATAACACACAGGGAACACGACAGACAGAGCGTCCAGCACACACGTGACCCGTGTAAATGTGTAGGGAATGATCAGCACATGTCATTCGAGTCGTCATCCTTGTTCAGCCACCGTGCCCAATTACGTATTATAGCATGGTGACTGTCTCGCGTATACACGGCCCTTGATGGGCAGGAGATACTGATCATATCATGGGGTTTGTTGTTCCGAGAAAGGTGGACGAGGGTATGTTGGCACAATCGTTCTATTGTTTTGTTCAATTTTTGAGATATTTTAAAAATGTTTTATCATACATATTGTGCGTGTATGATCGGTGTTCTAGATGTTGGTATGTCAATAATAAAACATACCACGTTCTAAAAAGCTTGAACACGGTGTAAGAATCTACACTGAAATGTCACTCTATGCAGTAAACAAGATGTAAGAATGGACACCGAAACGTCGCTCTATGCAGTAAACAAAATGTTGTTCTCTACAAACTCGTATGGTTCATCATATACTACGGATCAAAAGTTTAGACTCACCTAAAGCGTTCACTATATGTTATGTATATATATATGGTTACATCGAAGATGAATTTCTCCACTAACTTCGGGGAATCAACTGCAAACTTTATGCAGAGGATCATGCATCAAATTGCTAAAAAGTCTGTGCAAATATCGTTCATGTGAACTGCTGTGTTTTGTGTAAAGTTTTGTTAAGAATTCGCCAATTTTCACTGATTTTCATCATTTACTGAATTCATGACAATAATCTTTTCAACGTTACGAATTTGCTTTACAATACATTAGTTCATGTGTAAACAGTACCTTTAAACTGAATGGAATATTTTGCAAAATCTAGTTTAGAACAGTTGACTGAAGCAGAGACCATATTATATGGTCTCTGACTGAAGTAAGTGGCTACATTTACACTAGCGAGTCTAAACTTTTGATGGGAAGTATATATTGTGCAGATTTATAACACCCACAAAAGGAAGTACTTGCTTTGAAAGAACACGTTTCTCTGTACGATGATCTCCGTGTTTGGAGTAATACATCGGTTACGTACTGGAGTAGTTAAACCTATTGTTTGACGTCATATAAACATAACCATTTATATATTATTTGAGCCATGCTTTGAACAGTACGTTCCTCAGTATTCCCACTGTCGTCGTATTCACACAGCCAGGCATTCCTTGTCACAATAATGAAGAATACAACTTCATGGATAACATTTCTTGTTTATTACATAGAGCGACGTTTCGGTGTAGACTCTTACACCGTTATCAAATTACAAGTGAGTGAGTTTAGTTTTACGTCGCACTCAGCAATAGGAGGTCTGTAAATAATCGAATCTGGACCAGACAATCCAGTGATCAACAACATGAGCATCGATCTGCGCAATTGGGAACCGATGACATGTGTCAACCAAGCCAGCGAGCCTGACCACCCGATCCCGTTAGTCGCCTCTTACGACAAGCATGGGTTACTGAAGGGTTCTAACCGGGACCTTCACGAGTACAGTTACAAGTGACATGCGGAAGGTCCGTGGTTCCATCCACGGCCTTGAAACTTAAGTCAAAGATGTCCCGGATTTTCAGTTGTCTTGCTTTTTTTTATTGACAGTATTCTTTTTGCGATACCCCGAATATGTTTGTAGGTTTGTCATCACTATCCCGTGCTTGTGGGTTTCATCAAAGTGGTAGAGACCGACATCTCTTCTAGCTTTACTCTAGGGACGGTGGTGTAGCCTAGTGGGTAAAGCGGTCGCTTGTCACGTCGAAGACCCGGGTTCGATCCCCACACGGGGCACAATGTGTGAAGCCCATTCTGGTGTCCCCAGCCATGACATTGCTGGAATATTGCTAGCAAATTTGCGTGCAGCGTAAAGACTAAACTTGAAGCCCATTTCGCTCCCCGCCACATTGCTGGAATATTGCTAAAAGCGGCGTAAAACTAAACTCTCACTCTCCTTTCCTCCAACGTTTAGCTGACACGCCGTTATGCAACTAGAACTCTTTGACAAGCGGTGTTAAACCCTACTCACTCACTCACACTGTTTATTGAAATATTGAAATAGTATGTATTTCATTCTTGTGTTTAAGAGACAGTTTTGAAAGTTTCGGTTTTACCAGTTCCATGTATGCGTTCTGTGTATGCATTCTTTAGTTAGGTATTCTTGTATAGTGTCCATAATTTTGAGGATGCAAACTCACAATGTACTGGGTTTTGTAATATTCCAGCAATATCACGGAGGGGGCACCAGAAATAGGCTTCACTCATTGCAAAGGCGGATTCGAACCCGGGTCTTCGCGTAAGCAACAACCACTGAACGTGTTTTGAGGATGCAGTTGTGACTGGGTGTAGTCGTCACATTATGCAAAGGCGAATGCATAACAACAGGAACGTGTTGACAGTTGTGACGTGGTCGTCACATTATGTTGTTACATACACGTCATCAATCATTTGTGACAGGGTACATTATCTTGCATCGTGGACAGACGCCAAGAAGCGTTGTCCCGTGATGATGTCATTGGTGAATATATCATCACTTTACGTGAACTTAGCAACATAAGTATTTGATTACGATCACTAGTCAGTGTTACGTAGAGGTTGCATGTGGCAAAGTAGTGGTCGATAGCATGGGTTATGACATGCACATTGTGACATTATCAGGGCCGCCTCCATTACTTGGCGACTAACGGGGTCGGATGTTCCTCCTCGCACATGTCATCGTATCCCAATTGTTTAGATCGATACTCTTGCTGTTGATCACTGGATTGTCTGGTCCAGACTCGATTATTTTCAAACCGCCGAAATATAGCTGGAATATTGCTGAGGTAAACAACAAATAGTATAGTGGACTGAACGTCTTTCCGGAGTGCTAAGGGGTCCGGGGTTCGATCCCCGGCTGCATCACACCAAATCCAAAACGTTAGAAGATGGTACTTGTGGTTACCATGTCTGGCTCGCTACACTTGGGGGATAGAACGAGAAGAGGTCGGCTCGGAGTACCATGTGTGATTCCTGCATCATGTTACACTTCGGCCTGGTATCTCGTTAACTAGCACGATAAAACCGACATTAGGCAGGCAGGCGCACACGCACACGCACACGCATACGCACACAACAAATGGCCATGCTGAGAGAGTGAGTGAGTTTAGTTTTATGCTGCTTTTAGCAATATTCCAGCAATATCACGACAGGGGACACCAGAAATGGGCTTCACACATTGTACCCATGTGGGGAATCGAACCAGGGTCTTCGGCGTGAGGGGCGAACTCTTTAACCACTAGGCTACCCAACTGCCCCCTTGCTGACAGAACGATGCTAAGCCGTAAGAAAAGTTCGGAGAGGGTTGTTTATGTCACAGTAGCAGGTCGCGCTCATAATATCAATCATCGGATGCTCTGGTCCGGAGTTCATTATTTACAGCCTGCTGGAATATGTAGCCGGAATATTGCTGAATGCAAAGAGAAACATTTAACATGTTCAGTCTCTCTCTGCAGCAGAACTACGTAGATATGACCCCAACATGTAACTCATTAACTAATTTGGTGTACATGTTAACATGACTAAGTTTTGTTTGAACTTGTTTCAGATTGATGGAATATTCATCCAGAACATGCACGGGTCGACAGAATACTGATGTATTGTGATGCTTTACCTTACTGACAATAATATGGGGGATATCTCTGTGCTGGACATATATCACTGATTATCAAGGACATGTGGAGCATCTGACATGCGATAGCAAGACCCTGAATAATCCAACATGGCGGCCACTACCACCGAGGATGCTGCTGACCCGGTTCTGACGTCACTGCGCAACATTTTGCGCGGCTTGGAAGATGAAGAGAGAGACTCGAGTTACAGACGGAAGCAGCTGAGACTTGTGGCTGTTGCACGCCGGGATAGAATGTACTCAGCACCGGAACTGGTAAGTAGCAATCTGAATCTTTGTTGGAGCAGCAATAGAGAAATTGTTCTTCACATTCGGGTTGCTCTTGTGGCCTAGGGGAGGGTGGGGTAGCCTAGTGGTTAAAGCGGTCGCTCGTCACGCTGAAGACCCAGGTTCGATTCACTGCATGGGTACAATGTGTGAAGCCCGTTTCTGGTATTCCCCGTAGTGATATTGCTGGAATATTGCTAAAAGCGGCGTAAAACTAAACTTACTCACTCACTCTTGTGGCCGAGTCTCCACAAACCCGACTCAGAAATCCGTGTGAATCTGTGATTCTAAGGATGTCAGGTTCCTGGCATGTCTAAGGGAGACAACTCAATCAATTGTATCGAGACGTTTGGGCCACCCGTGGTTATCTGAGAAAGCTGATTGGAATACGAATTCTACTGATTATTACTGGATGTTCCCGTTATTCGAGTTTGTCGTGCCCTGTATGTCTCCATACATCATGATCAATCTGCCACTGCCATTACATAGTTTACTAGAAGGTTGAGCAACCCCTGCCGGTTAAAGCTGTTTGAGTTCTATGTCCGAGATAAGTATACTGGACAAAATAAGTTAGGGATATTGGTATTTTTATGGTTGATATTTTATCAGTGTGTCAATGAATAAATAGATCATTATTCATAATTTCAAAATTTACATATATCCCTAACTGTTTTTGTCCAGTATATAATTTGTTAAACCCATTTCTGTTATTAACCCAGCCCTTATATTGCTTGGATGTTGCGTAGAGCCCATGTCCGCTAACTCGCGGTCCTGTACATAATCTCTTTGATAATTAGCGTTGTGATCCTCCGCCAAATGTACAGGTGTGTCCCTGTATAATGTCATGTCGCTGATAACGGTTTAGGTGTTTCACGTCAAATCCCTTTTTCGATTCTTTTAATAATCACATGTGAGAAACTAAATCATGTGTCCACTGTCTCAATATTGCTACCCATTTCTGGTGTCTCCCGCCGTAGTGATGCTGTAATATTGCTAAAAGCGGCGTAAAACCATACTCACTCACTCACTTTAAATTGCTGGAATATTGCTAAAGAATTGCGTAAGTCGCCTCTCATTTGTACTGCAGGTATGTAATTACTTAACACAAACACTATTGGTGTTTGAGTTTTGATTTTACATTTAAGACTTCCATTTTGTTTCAAATGTATTTTTATAATTAAATCATTAAATTTTATTCTCGCCGCGATATGGCTGAAACAGTAATACGCTCCAAATATGTTAACTCACTGTTGGCATTGTACAGGTGTCGTTGAACATATTATGTTGTTTTGGGCTTGACTAATATAAAACTAATATGTATGTTTAATAACTGACATCAACATTGCTATGAAGTTTAAAGTTCAACATGGGAATGTAATCCTTTGTAACCGTTTGTCTATATGTCACCTTTGAACGCTTGTCGTCTAAAGGCACTTCATATTAACGCCATATAGCAACAACGCGTCAATTGTTGAATTCAGCGTTAACAGCTTTGTCAACAGAACTTGAGATATCGAACCGCTTTTTATGACATATGTTCTTGAAACCGAAGTTTTCATTGCTACATGCACTTACGTCTGTACGTATAAATTGTACCTAAGCACTTCAGGCAGTCATGCTTGCTAACAATAAAGCTTGGGACTTACTTACACTATAACGCCTACGTTCTATACATTTGATTAGTTCATGAAAAAGGGCACCTACACCAGATTACCTGCAAAGTGTTATACTTATCAAACATTCCTCTGATCCTGAGTGACAGCTATAAACAAGCACGTGCTTATGTCAATATCAGTGTGTAGTTATTTCTTTTAACGGCCACCCAGACATGGGTTATAGGTAATAAAGCCCTCCGCGCCATGCTGACGAGTCTTCAACAATATCACACAACGGTTGACCCGAGGTTTGTGGGCTCGGAATCAATGCAATCAGATATGTTTGTATATTTATATAGGTATAACTGACATTCTGTCCCGTGTGTATTACAGCTTTGTCAAAAACATATTGAAGTGTCTGTTATCTCATTATGGATCTGCTGGTCACGGGTGGCTCGCGCTGGGATCTCGTGTTTTGTAGTGGCGTGGATAGGAAGGTACTTTGTTCGTTGTTAGCTCACTTAAAGTTTCGTGCAGTCGATAGAGATATTTCAATATCTCGGGCAGGCATTCAGTTAAATAGGTACAACACATAACGTTATGACTTTGGGTATATACATCCCAACACTGTTGTTTCGAACTCTGATGTGTCGAAGCTACGCGTGTCGCGAAGTAAATACTTGACCCCTTCGTATTCGTTATCCATTTAGTGTTCGGTTGTGTCGAACTTCAGATAACTCGAAGTACTTACTTTGGTTCCTTTAACTTTTTTTGTCGGTCATCTACAACTCATCGGGAGGGGCGGTGGGGTAGCCTAGTGGTTAAAGCGTTGGCTCGTCACGCCGAAGACCCAGGTTCGGTTTACCCACATGGGTACAATGTGTGAAGCCCATTTCCGGTGTCCCCCGCTGTGATATTGCTGGAATATTGTTAAAAGCGGCGTAAAACCATACTCACTAACTCACTCATCGGAACACGGGTCAAAACAGATTCATTTTACCTCGTTCTTATCGTCGTAACTGAACTGGTTTGGGAAACCAGATACGAAGACCTGATCAAGCGGCCAAGATAATTGCTCATGTATTCATGGTTGCCTGTCCTAACTCTTGATATTGCTGCGGCGTCAAATAACATGTGCTCTTCACTCGAGCGTGAGTAATACTGGTGATTAAAGTTAAAAATACTCTAATGGTACAATCCCGTGCACAGTCAGTCCTTTCTTATGCATTTAAATATGACAAATGCAGAGCTGAGAGCCATGAAGCAAAGCAACAACTGTATGCTATGGAAGTACATTGCCGAGAACAGTCACGGCACGCCCTCCATTCCCATTTCCTCCCTGTATTATTGTTGGCCCAGTGGTTAAAGTCGCCACAGTTCCTTGGTTTGAATCCCAGTTCTCCCTGATAATGATTATTGGTTTGTTTTGTGGTAAATGTCTGAGACCTAAGTTCATTGCCCCTACTTTAAAATAGCACCCCACTATATTCTGAAATGCTGTTCAAAGCGACGTAAAACACACTCACTCACACATTACTTCTTTGATAGGCATTTTAGAAGTTGTTCCATTTTGTTACTTGTTAAATATATACAAGAATCTGTATCGAAACGTACGCACTCACGAATAAAAAGAAGTTGTTATCCATAAAGTTTGTTCTATACTACACATTACTGGTGATCCTCGTGTTACGGTTCAGTGTCCACCCTTGTCCAACACGGACGTTAGGTCCTATATAATATCGACACTCCCATTACCACAGTTGGCACAGCTTCTTTAACAGGTGCTCCAGTACACTGATCATACATAGCACATTACACGTACACAGATCAGCATTGTTGAGGAGAAATGGAATCTATTGCGTGAAGGTATGTATTGAGAATGACGTTTTTTTATTGTGAGAAGTCAATGACTTGTGTGTTCATATTGTATTTCTTTACCACGTTGACGCACCCTTTAACACCAGTTCGGGATTTAACACCAGTTCGGTCAATATGCTGTCACCCCTTCTGGTGCAGTGGGCTTGCCCGTCGTGTCGTTGAACGTCGGTGTTATCAAACACTGCCATGCGCTGTTAAACAATGTTTGTCAGTCACTAGAATGGTCATTTTTACAAACATGGCCGCTAGCAGACAAACGTTAACCCTCCGTCGGATAGGTTGATATCGGATGGAGTTTCCGACGCTGTTGTTGTTACTGTCACCGACAAGACGAAATTGCGGATTTCATTGGATAATTAATATAATTATGGATTTGTTGTCATACCAAGTCGTTATCTGATCAGCTGTTCTGGAAGTAGCTCCTCATTGGATAGTAGTCTTTGCTGGATAATTTGATCAACCAGGTAAGACATGATAATAGAACTGAAATAGATTTTACTGCAATTAAACGAAACACTTGGAAGTTGGTTCAAGCGGATTTCTCCGACTTACAACAAATCTGAGTGTGTTCTTGCACACATCATTTCCAACACCCACGGGGCGGTGGGATAGCCTAGTGGTTAAAGCGTTGGCGCGTCACGCCGAAGACCCGGGTTCGAATCCCCACATGGGTAAAATGTGTGAAGCCCATTTCTGGTGTCCCCCGCTATGATGTTGCTGGAATATTGCTAAAAGCGGCGTAAAACCAAACTCAGTCAGTCAGTTAGTCCAACACCCACACTGCCACATTCAGTAATAACTTCAGTCCTGTTTTGAACCTAAAGATGACAGTTGACTGGAACTGATACAAGGTAGACTGACTTGTAAATGAAACGATACACAGGCTTATGTGTTATAATCAAAGTGATGTAGGGGTTTATATAGTATAACGGGCTGATACGATATAACCATAGTGATGAAGGGACTGATACGATATAGACCCAGTGATGTAGGGACTGATACGATATAAACCTAGTGATGAAGGGCTGACACGATATAACCCGAGTGACGAAGGGGCTTATATAGTATAACGGTAATGATGAATTGACTGATACGATATAACCCGAGTGATGAAGGGTCTTATATAGTATAACGGTAGTGATGAAGGGGCTAATACAATATAACCCCAGTGATGAAGGGGCTGATACGATATAACCCAAGTGATTAAGGGGCTGATACGATATAACCCAAGTGATTAAGGGGCTTTATGATATAAACCAAGTGATTAAAAGGCGTGTATCATATAACCCAAGTGATGAAGGGGTTTATATAGTATAGCGGTAGTGATGAAGGGACTGATAAGATAAAGCCCTAAGTGATGCTGATGCTTATGTGATATACCCTATTCGTAGAGATGGTTAATCAATGTAAGTGTATAAATTCCAATATATTCCAGGTTTGTTAAACTTGTGATGAGGAGACACACACGATGTGAGTTTCCGCTATCCTCCGTTTAAGCCAGTGCACCAATATACC